TGCCCCCCCTGGAATTTCTTCACGCCCCCCCAGTTTGGGAACCCATGATTTAGATGCAAGTAATAGTAGACAGATGTACAAAGTACATTTCTTCTTTATTTGACTCTAGATAGATGCTCAGGCCAGACACTATCATAGGCACAAAAATTCTCATTCCCAAAATGATGATGATAGGAATCCGATTTGGTAACATTACTGGACAGGGAGTCACAAGATCTGGGCCCCATTGAAGTCAATGAGAGTTTAGCCATTGACTTTAATGGGGCCAGAATTTCACACCAGCACTTACTAACACAGGGGTGGGCAATAAGGGTGAGTCTACATTGCACCCATAGCTTGAAATAAGTTATTCAAATTGCATAGCTGATTTTGAGTCAATTTTGAAATAACTTATTTCAAAATTTGGCACAGTCTACACAGCACTTATTTTGAAATAAATCATCCCTTATTCCTCATGGGATGAGGTTTACAGGGATGTCGGAATAGCGAACCCGTTATATTTCAAAATAACAGGCGTGCTCAAAAGACATGGAATAGCTATTTTGGGATACCAGAGGTATCCCAGAATGGTGCTGCAGTGTAGCTGTAGCCTGTAGATCATGGGCTGGAGACAGTTCACTAGGGTTAGCCCCTGGCAAGCCACCAGACATTTATTTACCTGAGTATCCACAGGTATATCCACTTGCAGCTCCCATTGGCCACTGTTCATCATTCCCAGCCAATGGGTGCTGCAGGAAGCAGTGGCCCAGTCAGCACCTCTTCCCATAGCATTCATTGGTCAGGAACTGTGGTCAATGGGAACTGTGACCAGCCGCAGCTGCAGACTCTCAAGTAAAAAAATCATCTGGTGAACCAGGGGCGGGATGCAGGCTCTGGGATGGAGTTGGGGAATAGGGATGCAGGGTGCAGGCTGTGGGAGGGTGTTTGGGTGCAGGAGGGAATAAGGGAACAGGCTCTGGGATGGAGTCTGAGTGCTGGCTCTGGCCTGGGGCAGGGGGTGGAGGGTCCCGGGTGCAGGGTCTGTGAGGGCATTTGGGGGCCAAGGGAGGGAGTGAGTTTGGAGGCAGGACAAGGGGGTTGGGAGTGAGGGTGCAGGCTCTGGAGGGAGTGGGATGCACAAGGGAGAGTAGGGGGGGAGGGTGCCATGCTTATCTTTCCTCCGCTTCTGGTAATAGCTCCTGGGGAAGCTGGGGTCTCTATGTGCTGCTGCCACCACATGTTCCCCTCAGACATCCCCGACCCCACCTGCTGCCCCCAGAGCAGTGCATGGCATGGAGACAACATCTCCCTTCCTCTGGGCCACAGGGACACATGCTGGCAGCTCTAACCCCACTTTGCTGCTGGTGGTGGTTTTAAGTCACCTGGGTGATGTGCAGGGGAACACATGGGATGGCAGAGGGCTGGGGAGCCCAGGGAGCATGGGAGTGGCAGGCAGTGACCTCTGGTGGAGCCTGGCCTCACTTATGGCTGTGAGCAGGGGGTGGAAGGAAGTAACCCAGAAGTACTAATGGCCCCTGTGCCAGGCAAAGCCTTCTCCTGACCCCAGCCCTTCAGTGCCTCCCCAGGGCACAGAGCCACAACTGTTTCCCCTGCCAGAGACTGTGCAGCAGAAGCAGGCAGGGGCCCACTGAAGGGTCAGGAGGGACTGATGGGAGGACACTATTAACATGGTACAGCCTTCCGCACCCCTCCACGCCCCAACCCATCAGCATGAGCCCCGTTTGCTCCTCTTGTGCAGGAAGAGGATTAGAATTAGATTTTAGCAGCTGAGATTGTCCAACCACTTCAGTGAGCAAGGCTTCCTCTGCTGCCATGGGATGAGGTATGTACATGAAACATGAATTTCCAATGGGGGAGGGGCAGCTCAGCAAAAAAAAACCCACCCCTTTGGAAATCTCTGCACTAAACTGTGGGATATTCCATTGAGGGGCTCCCTCAAGCTCTCCTATTGAAGTTGTTCAATTTTGCTTAAATATTAACTGGGCCAGAGAGAATCGCTCTATAGTGTTGTGGTTAATACACTTACCTGAGAGGTGGCAGTTCCTTGCTCAAATCCCTTCTCCTCAGGCAGAGTGGGAATTTGAACCTAAATTCATCCTACATCCCATGTTAGTACCCAAGCAAGGGCTAAAGGGTGTAAGTAATCCAAGCCTCCCCCTGCATCAGTTGATCTCTATGGATTTAGGCCACATAATTTACCTGGCGGGGGTGGTCTGATCTCTATGGATTTAGGCCACATAATTTACCTGGTGGCGGGGAGTGGGGGGGGGAGTGTCTAATCTAGTAGGTTTGCTCAGAAGCTGCCTATTGTTCCCCCTCTCTAGTTCATGGAGATAGGTGCCTCCCTGCAGGCTGCATCTAGGTGCTTATCTCTGAAAGTTGAGTGGAACTTAAAGACACACCCTTCTCATGACATATCTAGTGTGTTGGCTTTTATGAAACAACTGCATGCTCACGTAGCACTTCCATATAGACACTGCCTACATTGACAGGAGGGGTTCTTCCATGGACCTCGCACTGTTTGCTCTGTGGGTTAGGTCATCCTAGTACATCTCTCAAGGGTGTGTGTTTTTTCACACATCTGAAAAGTGTAGCTATTCCAGTGTAAATTTTCAGTATAGATCAGCCCTCAGACGCCTATCTCTCACCATTTATTGTACAGGGACATGAGTTGACTAACACAGGTTTTGTGAATCAGTGTTGTTCCTGTGACATCTCAGATACCTAAAAGTTAGATGATGTGATTTTCCATCATCCCAGGATATAAGTCCCTTTGTGGATCCAAGCAGTAACATTCCCATGCCTCAGTTTCCCCTCCATACAATTGAAATATCACTTCTGTTCTTTTATGAATAACTTTGAGAGGTTCAGATGGAGTATTCTACAGAAGAGGTTGGTTTTATTACTAGGCACTGTACTGTTTTTCAAAATATTTGTTCTGAGGAAAATTTTTATTTTATATTTTAAACTACCAGTTATAATATGGTATTTCATGCTGGCAAAATCCCAGTACCCATCAACATTTGTTTAAGAAAAATATTTTTAAACTTAATACTGTACTAAAATCTGTCAGTCAAAAAAAACCTCTCTCTCCTGCCACAATTGACATGTTAAATATGCAAGGATCTGCTGTCCATTACAAGGTCACTGATGGTTTTATGTCAAAAAGCGTAGAGGTATTTTGGTCAATATCTAAAATAAGTTCTTCACAGAAACCAAATTTACTCAGCAAAATGTGACTGCAATACAATAAACACATGTGCAGAGTGAAATCACATAGCTGAGTGTGGCAGCAATGTATCACTTTTATCATCATTTTTTATAGTAACACACATTCAAATAGAATCTGATTAACACTATGCATTTACATAGCATTGGCTAATTAAGATAAATAGTTTAGCCTCCCAACATCTTTGAAACAGGTAAATATTATTATCTCTGTTTTCCAGAGTGGTAAGCTGAAGCAGGTAGCCTAAGTGATGCAGGAGCACAGGTCACCTTAGCTTTCTGACAATTAGGCTATGTCTACACAGCAGCATTATTTTGGAATAACTGATGTAAATAATGGCGAGCTGGAGGTGTGTCTATACTGCAAGCCATTATTCTGAAATAATGGCGAGCTGGAGGACGACTTACTGCAACTCCTGTAACCCTCATTTTACAAGGAGTAAGGGAAGTCAAGGAAGACTGTTCTTCCTTTGACTTCCTGCTGTGTAGACAGCATGAAAGTCCGAATTACATTATTTTGATTTAAGCTACGTAATTGACGTTGCTCAAGTTGTGTAGCTTAGTTCAACTTTAGCCCTGCTGTGTAATTGTATCCGTAGGCCTTTTCTTTTAAAGTCACCTAAATGACTTGAAAGTTAGCCAGTGTTAGAGCTGGCAAAACTACTCAGCAGTCTTGATTAGATACCCTCCCAACTGAGCTGACATTCACTAGCATGGCAATATTTCAGTTTTGTAAAAAACCTCTTTATTGCATTACATGCATTTTTAAAAACACCAACCACTGACATTAGACCAATATTTTGAACTGGTTTTAGAAAATCAGAGCTTGCTGATTCATGTGTGTCTTGGCAGTAGTGTCCTCACATTACAAGTGACCTGTATTAATCAGGTTTACACAGTATATTCCTCTAGCGCTAATGCCACAATATCAGATGTTGCTTTCACTTTCCACAAGTGTCTACTTATAAATCTGTCATAATAATGGAGCCATTCCTTGTCCTTCACACCTTATGCAAAACTCTCCGTGTAAGGTTTTGCCTACATATGGATAAAGAATTATTCTTTTCCAGGACAAGCCAGACTTCACTGAAATTATTTTCATTTTACACTTGAACTTTTAAACACTCCTACATATTTCTAAAATTATTTCTCCCCCTCTCCTTCCCTGTTCAAAGTTCCCCACGTGTCTGGTTTAATCAAACAGCCTTTAGGTTCATGTTTAAAGCAACTCCAAAAGAGAATGACACATCTGCATTCTGTGAATTGCTTCATGTGGCACCTATACTATGTTGTTTAATATTTTATGAAGAGGACATGTGTTGAATTTAATTCCAAATCAACACATAGACTATTTTAATCTCAGTCAACAGCTGTTTATTTGTATTCAAAATACTTTTGATCTAAAAAAATTGTGTAAAAACAGTAAATAATACCAGCTGAAGTTTAGAGTGTTTTGAAATTTCCAGAAAAGTTCATTATTTTTGTCATGTTATCTTACTAGGCCTGTATATTAAAATACTGTGTGCGACTGATGTAAAATATAATTCAATTGCTTTCCAACGCAACACTCTGCATCTTCAATTCCATTAAACTTTTGAATGTCAATGCACTCCTATGGGCTCTGGTATAGAGCTCTCACTTCTGCATTATACCTATAAATGTATTCCAGTAAAGCAGTAGGCCACAAATAATCTCCAGCAGAGAAATCTTTATCATGTACAGTACATCCCTCAGCAGATAAACCCACCAGAACCCAGTGTGACAATACCTACCGGACTAGGTTGTCTTTTTCTTCTTGTCCTCTTTTGGCTTGATGAAGAATCTAAACTGGAGGGCTCCTGCACTCTTTAAATATGCCTAAGTGATCACCAGAGTTGGCTCTATAAGTAGGGAGGGGAGAAGGGACGTGAGCAATGCCAATGCTATCAGCAGGCTGAAAATAACTTCTGACAAAAGCCTTGAATTTTTTCCCCTTAACACCACTTGTGAGTAAGGTGGAGAACAATGCTCTCCTTCAGAGTACACCCAGAAAACATTTCCAAATGCAGTTTTATAGATCACAAATAGATTCACTGAAGGGGACGCACAAAACTGGAGTAAAATAAAGTATTATTCAGTCTTTAAAAATAAAATTACAGGCTGAAATCAGCAAACTCCTTAAATATAGGCCATAAAGCAAAGGCTACTGAATTGGTGGGACAATGGTCAGGCACCTATTCACACTGGTGAAAAGAATGGATCAAAATAAATACAACTAAACATGAGGCCAATGAACAGCTGAGAGTTGCAACTCTACTGTTACAATGTTAAGCCAAATGGAATTTCAGTCATCTTATAGCTAGACAACCTTTAGTCCCTGATAAAAGTTTTAAAAAGATCAGGGATTCATTCTTTTCATCCAGTTTTATTTTCCAGTGCACATCTTTTAGTTTAAGAATCTCCAAATGCTTTTACAAACATTTGCTAAGCCTCACAACACTCCTGTGGCTATATTAGTATATCCCTTATACAGATGACTAAACTGAAGCACAAAGAGCTTAAGGATAATTTTCAAACATGGCTAAATGATTTAGAAGATAAGTCTTATTGAAAGTCTATGGGACTTAAACTTCTAACTTGGAATTTTCAACACACCTGAAGTAAGTTGAAATTAGGGGTTTGGAACGGATCCCATATGAAGAGAGGTTAAAGCGACTAGGACTTTTCAGTTTAGAGAGGAGACTGAGGGGTGATATGATAGAGGTATATAAAATCATGAGTGGTGTGGAGAGGGTGGATAAAGAAAAGTTACTTATTTATTAGTTCCCATAATAGAAGAACTAGGGGACACCAAATGAAATTAATGGGTAGCAGGTTTAAAACTAATAAAAGAAAGTTCTTCTTCACACAGAGTGTAGTCAGCCTGTGGAATTCCTTGCCAGAGGAGGCTGTGAAGGCTAGGACTATAAGGGTATGTCTACACTACAACATTAATTCGAACTAACTTAGTTCGAATTAGCTAATTCGAACTAATGGATCCAGACTAAAAAACTAGTTCAAATTAGCGTTTTGCTAATTCGAACTAGCATGTCCACATTAAGTGCACCCTGAACCGGGCTTAAGGATGGCCGGAAGCAGTGCCGGCAGGGCATCAGAGAAGAACTTAGAGCGTGGAGATGCTTTCTCAGCCTAGCCGAGGGCTGTGCTTAAAGGGTCCCGACCCCCACCCCGGACAGACCGTTCTCAGGGGTGCCCCGCTTGCAAAGCAGTCCTGGCTTGGATTGCCCAGACTACCC